ATGGGTACAAGATCCTACCTCCTCAGATCTAAGAAGCTATGGATTTAAGATGCTCCATTTTTAAACATAACCATCAGGAAGTAAAAAAACGATACTAAGTTCTAGAAGATGTTTTCTCATTACTTGGAAATTTTATTTGACACTTTTTGAAAGAGTTCTTTGAGCTCTTTGATTTGGATAAAAGGAGTTTTGTTTTTGTTTTTTAGGGGTGCCTGGGTGACTCAGGTGGTTGAGTGTCCGACTTGGATTTTGGCTCAGGTCATGATCTTGTGGTCTGTGGGATCGAGCCCTGCATCAGGCTCTAGGTTGGCAATGTGGAGCCTGCTTGGGATTCTGTCTCTCCCTCTCTCTCTCTGCCCCCTCCCAGCTCACTCTCTCTCTCTCGAAGTAAATAAATAAACTTAAAAAAAAGTAAAAGGGCTTTCTTTTAAATCATACATTGCTTTTTTAACTATGCATAAGGGAACTTATAACTGACATTCATTAGTTAAGACAGTCCTAAAATTTCTTCACATTTCAGGGTTTAATTTTCTGTATCAGTTTTTGACTTAGAGTCATCACTGCTTGTATTTTTCTAGTAAATACTGTTTTCTTTTTTTTTTCTTTGTGAGAGAGAGAGAGAGCATGTGCACTTGCACATACACACACAGAGAGAGAGAGAGAGAGAGAGAGAGAGAGAGAGAGAGAGAGAATCCCAAGGAGGCTCCGTGCCCAGCAAAGAGCTCGATGTGCGGCTTGATCCCATGACCCTGGGATCGTGACCTGAGCTGAAATCAAGAGTCAGACACTTAACTGAACTGAGCCACCCAAGCACCCCCAAATACTGTTTACTGTTCCATCCAAAGAGGGGGTCAACACACTATAACCCATGGGCCCAATGCAGCGCTCCACCTGTTTTTGCAAATAAAGTTTTATTGTAACAGAGCCGTGCCCATTACCTATCATGTATGGCTGCTTTCACGCTGTAACGGCAGAGTTGAGTGGTCGCACCTGAGTCTGTATGTCTCACAGAACCAAAATTACTCCCCGTCTGACCCTTTATACAAAAAGCTTGCTGACCTCTGATCAGGAGTGTAGGAGGCCCAGCGTTTCTCACAAG